CCTCAGGAAGAGTTGTTTAATCTCTTTAGCGGCTATTGTTAGGCTGGGGGCAGGGCTGATGGGTGGGTCGTTAGAGTAGTGGGGGGTGGGGGAGGGAGAGGTGTCAGGGGCAGCATCAAAGCGACTGAAAAATAAGTTCAGATCGTCAGCTAGCTTGTGGTCATCAGCACAGGGGGGGGCTTTGGGTTTGTAGTTGGTGATCTCCCGTAGGCCCCTCCAGACAGAAGCAGTATCGTTGTTACCAAACTGCTCCTGTAGTCGTTCTCTGTGCCGGGACTTGGCTGCTTTCAGTTCTTTCCTGAACTGATATTTAGCTGCTTTGTAGCCGCTGCGGTCCCCCTCCCTGAAAGCAGACTCCTTTGCTTTCCTGAGCTGCCGGAGTTTAGCAGTGAACCAGGGTTTGTCGTTGTTATAGATGACCCTGGTCCTTGTTGGAATGATGCTATCCTCACAGAAGTGGATGTATGACGTTACAGTGTCCGTATATTCATCCAAACTATCTGTGGCAGCTCTGAAAAGGTCCCAGTCTGTAGATTCCATGCATGCGCGCAGCTCTTCCACAGCTTCATCAGACCACACTTTGGAGCTCCTCACTGCAGGTTTCGAGAGCTTTAGTCTCTGTCTGTAAGCAGGAACCAGATGTATCATGGAGTGATCTGAGAAGCCGAGGGCTGGCTTGGGAACAGCGCGAAAAGCTCCGCGCACGGTGGTGTAACAGTGATCCAGAGTGTTCTCCTCTCTGGTCGGGCATTTGATAAACTGTCTGTATTTGGGTAATTCCTGGCTCAAGTTTCCCTTATTAAAATCCCCCAGGGTAATAATCAGAGAGTCCGGGGAATAAACGTTCCATACGCCATGCGCGGACGCAGAGCGGTGTGTAAACAGAGGCAAGAATGAATTAAACAATTTCACGCGGGGAGTAAAATGGTCTACAATGAATGAAAAGATATTCCAGAGCAGGAGAGCAGTGCTTGGAGATCACTGTCACATCGTTACACCAGTTTGTATTGACGTAGAAACACAGCCCACCGCCTCTGCTCTTCCCTGAGAGCGCACAATGGCGATCTGCGCGGAACAGCTCAAAACCCTGCAGCTCCAGAGCGCAGTCCGGGATCCGCTCATTTAGCCAGGTCTCAGTGAAGCAGAGGACACAGGATGTGGCGAAGTCCTTGTTTCTTCTCATGAGCAGGCTGAGTTCGTCCATCTTATTGCCCAGTGAGCGTACGTTGGAGAGAAAAATGCCGGGGAGAGCCGTGCGCGCTCCTCTCCTCCTAAGACGCACGAGCAGCCTCCTCGCTTTCCCCTTTTACGGGCCCACACTTTTTTGGCTAGAACATGAACTAAATCAGCCGCAGATGCCAAGAAAACAGGCAATAGGTCCATGGGAACGGTGGGTCGGATGTTCATAAGTTCCTCACGGGTGTAGGAACAGCCAGATGCACAGTTAAAAAGTAAAAACAAAAGAAAAAGAGAGCAGCAAAGAGCCATGTCGACCGTACGAGGCGCCATCTATATAGCCTCATATAGCCTCTTTACTAGCACTATAGCCTCTTTACTAGTACTATAGCCTCTTTACTAGTACTATAGCCTCTTTACTAGCACTATAGCCTCTTTACTAGCACTATAGCCTCTTTACTAGCACTATAGCCTCTTTACTAGCACTATAGCCTCTTTACTAGCACTATAGCCTCTTTACTAGCATTATAGCCTCTTTACTAGCACTATAGCCTCTTTACTAGCACTATAGCCTCTTTACTAGTACTATAGCCTCTTTACTAGCACTATAGCCTCTTTACTAGCACTATAGCCTCTTTACTAGTACTATAGCCTCTTTACTAGCACTATAGCCTCTTTACTAGTACTATAGCCTCTTTACTAGCACTATAGCCTCTTTACTAGCACTATAGCCTCTTTACTAGCACTATAGCCTCTTTACTAGCACTATAGCTCTTTACTAGCACTATAGCCTCTTTATTAGCACTATAGCCTCTTTACTAGCACTATAGCCTCTTTACTAGCACTATAGCCTCTTTACTAGTACTATAGCCTCTTTACTAGCACTATAGCCTCTTTACTAGCACTATAGCCTCTTTACTAGCACTATAGCCTCTTTACTAGCACTATAGCCTCTTTAATAGCACTATAGCCTTTACTACACTATAGCCTCTTTAATAGCACTATAGCCTCTTTACTAGCACTATAGCCTCTTTACTAGCACTATAGCCTCTTTACTAGTACTATAGCCTCTTTACTAGCACTATAGCCTCTTTACTAGCACTATAGCCTCTTTAATAGCACTATAGCCTCTTTACTAGTACTATAGCCTCTTTACTAGCACTATAGCCTCTTTAATAGCACTATAGCCTCTTTACTAGTACTATAGCCTCTTTACTAGCACTATAGCCTCTTTACTAGTACTAGCCTCTTTACTAGCACTATAGCCTCTTTAATAGCACTATAGCCTCTTTACTAGCACTATAGCCTCTTTACTAGTACTAGCCTCTTTACTGGTACAAAAGACAATTAACAAAGAGGTGTGGTTTGCACTGCACTAAAATTGGATGAGTTTATTTCTAGTATATTTAGCGTCACTTCTCATTCAGGAATTAACTTTTCAGATTCATATTATTTGCCATTTGCAGTAAAACCCCATTGGAATACTCTACATCTGCCACAGTGTGCAAACTATATACACACATTCTGAAGTGTGATTTATGATTCTGTTGCTCACAGTCCTTTACTTGCCATAGACTATACAGTAGATGGCCAATGCTAACCCACAAGCTAAATAAAACCCAATAGGGAAGTGCTAGTAGGTGAAGTTTGGTTTCTCTGGCTTAGTAACAGTTTGTATCACTCTCTCTGGTCCCTCTCTCACTCTTTCTTGTCTCTCTCTGGTCCCTCTTTCTGCTCTCTCCCTCAGGTTTGTCTCTGCCCTATCTCTGGTCTCTCTCTGGTCTCTCTCTGGTCTCTCTCTGGTCTCTCTCTCTGGTGTTTGTCTCTTGTCTCTCTCTGGTCTCTCTCTCTGGCCTTTCTCTCTCTGGTCTCTCTCTCTCTGGCCTTTCTCTCTCTGGTCTCTCTCTGCCCTCTTTCTGGTCTCTTTCTGGTCTCTCTCTGGTCTCTCTCTCTGGTCTCTCTCTGGTCTCTCTCTCTCTCTGGTTTCTCTCTCTGGTTTCTCTCTCTGGTCTCTCTCTGGTCTCTCTCTCTCTCTGGTTTATCTCTCTGGTCTCTCTCTCTCTCTGGTTTATCTCTCTGGTCTCTCTCTGGTCTCTCTCTGGTCTCTCTCTGGTCTCTCTCTGTCCCCCTCTCTCTAGTTTCTCTCTCTGGTCTCTCTCTCAGGTCCCTCTCTCTAGTCTCTCTCGCTGGTCTCTCTCTCTCTCTCTCTCTCTGCTCTCACTCACCATTTTGGGCAATACAAAATCCATGGTATATCGCCCTTTATGATCCTGGTGTTTATAGTGTGATATTTTTGTAAATCCAGACATGCTCCCGACCAATCAGGAGCCTCCCTTAGCAAAATACAGCTTTAGCAGCGAGTAGCATTGTAGGTAACAGACTTCTCGCTCCTGATTGGCTCCTGGTTTCTCAGCCGTTGCTACCAAGAACATTTACATACATTTGGGTCAACATTTCCGCTCAAATAGCCTGTTTTGCTAGCTCGAATCGGCCTCTGCTGCTTTAAGGCTAACACTATGGTTAACAGTCTCTGGGTTTTGAGCAGACAGAGAAAACGACTGGTTATTGTGAGGACCATAAACACATCGTGGGAGAGTGAAATAAAAGTATAGCTGGATTACTGTAAGCCTGACAGCGTGCGCAGTGGAGGGTGAAGCCGGTGGTGATGGGTGGTTGGCAGTGATTGGATATTGGAGCTGTCAATCATCTGTCATTTCTCGTCTCTCTGCTCCGACCAGAAAAAGTGTCGCTCATATTGGACCAGATTTTTTAATTGAGCCGAGGAGAATAGTGTCAACGTCATTCATGAACTTGATCAATTTAAAAATCCACTTCATTATAACTGGAAAACGATTTTTCAATTGAACGCTGTTTCTTTAAGGTTCATGCCACTTCTCTTAAGTACTCAAGTTATTTTAGACAATGTAAAAAATATAGAACCAGGAAGTAGAATCACATTAGTCCTGGTCTCTGGTCTCTGCACTGGCTCCTGTGGCTCAGAGAATAGACTTTGTAGCAGCTCTGGTCTCCTGCTGGGACTCTGAGGAGCACAGGGACTGGCCTCCTGCTGGGACTCTGAGGAGCACAGGGACTGACCTCCCGCTGCTCCTAGAGTCATGACCAAACACTTTCAGATTTATGCAGCTAGGAACAGTCTTCCTGAAAATGTGCATAAACTGTGCTATACCGATATACTTCCTTTCTCTTGCCTTTTCATTTTCACCATCTGGTTTTGGGGCCGATAAGAAAACCGTTGCATTACCAGTTACAGAACAGTAGGAATGAACAAAACTGTCATGGTTTAGGTCCATGGTTTTGTACTGGTCTCTTCTAGGCTTGGTCTTTTCCTCCTGTTTGGGTCAGTTCTGAATATTTTTCTGGGCGACACCGGGTTTTACACAGAGATATTCCTGGGTTTGATTCCACCTCCAGAGAGAGACCAGAGAAAGACCAGCGAGAGGGACCAGAGAGAGAGAGAGAGAGAGGCCAGAGAGACTAGCTCAAGACCAGAGACAGCAGAGAGACTAGAGCGAGACCAGAGAGAGATCAGTAAGAGAGAGACCAGATAGAAAGCGAGCGAGAGAGACCAGAGTGATAGACCAGAGAGACTAGAGAGAGACCAGAGAAAGAGAGAGACCAGAACGAGAGACCAGCGAGATAGCCCAAAGACCAGAAAGGTTTCCTCTGGGTGCTCCGGTTTGCCCTACCACTAAAAACATATCCAGAGATTACAAGCAGAAGCAGGTTAAGTCTTGTTGTTTCCTCTGAGACCATCTTCTCGTTCACTTCTCTTTCTCTCACTCACTTTTATTCTTTGGCCTCAGACATCAACGAGTGCAAGACGGGCCGCAACACCTGCGCTAACGACACCGTGTGCTTCAACCTGGACGGAGGCTACGACTGCCGCTGCCCCCACGGTCACAACTGCACCGGAGACTGTATCCATGACAACAAGGTCAAGCACAGCGGGCAGATCTGGGTCCTAGAGACTGACCGCTGCTCCGTCTGCTCCTGCCAGGTAAGAGTCACTGCACTGATGGTCATATATGTGGAGAGAGAGAGACCAGAGAGAGAGACCAGAGTGAGAGGGGGACCAGAGAGAGAGAGAGAGAGAGAGAGAGAGACCAGCGAGAGGGACCAGAGAGAGAGAGGGACCAGAGAGAGAGAGAGAGAGAGAGACCAGAGAGAGAGACCAGAGTGAGAGAGGGACCAGAGAGAGAGAGAGAGAGACCAGCGAGAGGGACCAGAGTGAGACACCAGCGAGAGAGACCAGAGTGATAGATCAGAGAGAGAGAGAGAAACTAGAGTGAGAGAGAGACCAGAGAGAAAGAGAGGGAGACCAGAGAGGGACCAGAGTGAGAGACCAGCAAGAGAGACCAGAGTGATAGACCAGAGAGAGAGAGAGAGAGAGAGACCAACGAGAGGGACCAGAGTGAGAGACCAGAGAGAGAGAGAGAAACTAGAGTGAGAGAGAGACCAGAGAGAGAGACCAGTGAGAAAGAGAGGGAGACCAGAGAGGGACCAGTGAGAGAGACCAGAGAGAGGGCAGAGAGGGACCAGCGAGAGAGACCAGAGAGAAGGAGAGAGAGAGAGAGAGGGACCAGAGTGAAAAACAGAGAGAGAACAGAGAAAGACCAAAGTGAGAGAGAGAGAGAAGGCAGAGAGAGAGACCAGAGAAAAACCAGGGAGAGATCACGGTGGGAGAGAGGGAAGCAGAGAGACCAGAAAGAAAGAGCCCAGAGTGATAGACCAGAAAGCGAGCAGAGAGAGACAGACCATAGGAAGAGACCAGAGAGAGACCCCAAGGAGACCATCCGTCCGTCCATCTTCTTCCCCTTAATCCATTTCTGGGTCGGGGGGGTGGCAGTCAGAGCTGCACCCAGCACACAGAGCACCAGCCCCTCACTGATCCTGCTGCAGGTGCTGAGTCCACAGGAGGTGAGATCTTTCAGTTGGGGCTTTGGGCAAAGTGGGGTTAAGTGTCTTGCCCAAGGACACAACGACAGCAGTCATCAGTGGGAGTCGTGAAGTAGGTCTTACGGTGGGCTCAAACCCACGACCTTCAGGCCCAAAGGCCAATGCTCTACCAACTGAGCCACTGTCGCCCAAGGAGACCAGAGACTATATAATCCGCGGGGATCAAATAACATGAATAGTAGCTACTTATCGTGAAGAAATTACCGTACACATATTTAAAGTCGTAGACCTGCCAGCTCGGTGGAAATCCCGGGAACATTAGAATGCCATTGCCGTCTCCGTTCGGAAACTTTCGGACACTTTTATCGGCGCCGTCTGTCACTTTGCTCTTTCTTGACTTTCACTTACCTCATAATTGAAGCTTCATGTGAAAATTGCAGCTCTTTGTGGGCGGCTGGAGGCTGTGATTAAGAGCATTGAAAGCTTTCATTCAGGGTTCTTCTGTGCTCTGTAATCACCAGACCTCTGCGGAGCTCGGCCTGTGTTTTAAAGACGGGGTACGTGGAGAAACACCACCCCAATAATACGCCGTGACACAAATAATGTATGGGACTGGAGTAGACGATAGAACCACTTACATTGGGTTATGTTTGCGTAAAAGGATACAATAGAGGGTCTCTTTGTGCCAAGTCCAAATCCACAGAGAGACAGTGTGTCCTACACTGTGGCTCTTTGGAATGATTTTTGGATTTTCATTGTAGTTGGCAGTGTCCATTAGTCCTTATTGGTCCTTATTGTTCGTTGTACAGTCTGACAGCAGCAGGAAGGAAAGACCTGCGGAACCTCTCCTTCACACATCGAGGGTGAATAACGGAGTCAATGAAGCAAATCCAGACCTTAATATGATATTAAATTTGTACGATGGTATGGTTAGTCTTGGACTGGTCTTGGAATGGCCTTGGACAGGTCTTGGACTGGTCTTGGACTGGCCCTGGACTGGCCCTGGACTGGTTTTGGACTGGCTTTGGACTGGTGTTGGACTGGTCTTGGACTGGCTTTGGACTGGTGTTGGACTGGTCTTGGACTGAATTCTGATAAAAGTCGCGAGAAACTATTTTCTTGTTTATATTTTTCAGAAGGCTGTAGATCCTAGACTCTGCACACACTCATACACACGCACACACACACACATACATACACACACACACATACACTCACACACACACATACACACACACACACACACACACATACACGTTTTTGTTACCTGGTGGGTCCCTTTGACAGGGCCGTTCAGAATGGGACCCATAGACATAATCTTTTTTTACTGGGACTACTTTAAGTAATACAAAACAGTCAATAGAAAACAAACAACTATTTTAAAGGAATTTTATTTTAGATTTTTTTTTTGAATTGCAGTGATTCTATTTTTGACATAGAATTTAATGCCACTCCATGTCCGATGTCTAAGGTCATCTGGTGAGGCATTAATGCAGGCCAGGCCAGGCCAGGCCAGGCAGTGAGACTTCCCAGGGACCTTTCCAGTCTGTATGAAAGGCGTCATGGTCTTCTCCACAGCCTTCACCTCAGATGCAGACCATGGCTTTCTCTAACGTTCTAGGGAGAGAACTAAAAATATATTAGCAATATACACTCCCAGGGTTAGGACCAAGCAGCCTGGCTGTAATCCCCCACCTGGTACACTTACCAGAAGGGGCACTGCCACTACCATGGGGTGCATCTGGATGAATGGTTGAAGGTTCTCCGCTTGAAGTTTCTTTTAGCCCGTCCGTTTGTGAGAGGATAGAAAATAAGAATACAAGTGGCCTTTAGGGGAAAAAAATCATACATATTTTAATAATATCAAGAATTACCTTCAGGCTCAATTTGTATCTGGTCGAGGCTCTTTCCTTCGAATTCCGTCACTCTTCCCTGCTCCATGGCCATCAACACTTTGCTGATTTTGGCCAGCTCCAGTGTCCCCTCTGGAAGTCTGTAATATTGTCTGTGGATGCGAATGTCATGGCCGAGGAAGTTGGCTAGTATGTCCATTTCATTCTCTTTCATATTGAGAACTGTAGACATAGTAGCTATGTGCTTTCTAAGTTTGGTTGAGGATAGCATCTCTGGATGCACCGCACCACATTCTTTGGCTACCTGGCGTAGGGAGTCTGATCCCCTGATGTGGGTGTCTGCGCCCGGGCGGGAAAAGAAGTATGGGTTATGGTCAGAGATGGAACAGGCCCTTCTGTTCTCCACCAGCACCTCCATCGAAGCAATCATTTCAGGAGTCAAAAGAACCGGCACTTTCCGACTTCTTTTCCCTTTAATTTCAATGCGTTGAAAATGCTGACACAGCTTTTTCTCAAGTTCGGACAGTCCCAGAGCAATGTCAGAATGGATCCCAGTCTTACTTCTTAAGGTAAAGGCTGTCAGTGGCATCTTTGAAACCTCACCTTCCCTTCTTCGATTGAAAATAATGACCTCACAAAGAGTCAAAACTGCCAGTTTAGACCAATGCTTAGACGTTGGCTCACTTATTAGGGTTTGCACATATTCAGGTCGACATACCTCAATATGTGCATGCATGGCTCTAACGTCCTCAGTCAGAGGGAGCAGGTCCGGAGTGTTCCACTTGGCTTGCCGGAGGGTCTGTAGGGCAGCAGAAGAAACACAGACGTCCCACCTCTTCTCAAAAAGCAGCCGGCTTCGTTGGAGGTTTTTAATAAATAGTTCATCAACACTATTTAGGTGCTCACTCTGTGTAGGTGGAGTGAGCACGCGTTTTGACGTCTCTGCTCTGTTTACCCTTTTAAGCCTTTTAAAGCCTTTTAAACACGTTTTTACGGTGTATTAGTGTCTTTTGTACACTCTAGTGTTTTATTATCTGAAATGCAATGGTTCCAGAGCATCACGTCTTTTAACACAAAGACCCAATCGAAACGCGCTAGCTCGGAGGCTACCACGAGCGCACCACAGACATGGAAAGTGACACTGCAATGACCACGAACGACATTAGTCGCCTCACATTGGAGCTTCGTGAGAGGGACCGTGCCACTATTGCAGACCTCCGTAAAGAAGTCCTTCGCCTCACTGCAGAGCTGCAGGATAAACAGTCACTCGTGTCCAAACTTTTTGATGTTGCTGGCGGGCAGCACTCACGGCTTATGTCACTGAGCGCTGCATACTGTGACACTGTCGTGTGGGAGACAGCATCACAGTTGAAATGACTTATAAAATAATGAATCCATAAAACTATCACATAAACCAACAGTAGAAACACATGTAATGAACTCAAACAGCTTTGTTTGATATTGTTGTTCTGAAGAGGACAAAGTAGCAGCGTAAATGGGACCGCTCCTGTGTGATCGCCCTCATGTGGTTTGTTGTGGGATTACAACATTCTCCTCAAAACTCCGTAAGGGGAACGCGCCAGTATAACATCAATTGTGCTTACGTAGGTCCACCGCAACCGCTAACGTAAGCCACGCCGCGCAAGTATACTCTAGGCTTTAGTCTCTCTCTGGTCTTTCTCTTGTCTCTCACTGGTCTCTCTCTCTCTCTCTGGTCTCTTTCTAGTCCCCCTCTGGGCTCTCGCTGGTCTCTCACTGGTCTCCCTGGTCTCTCTCTGGTCTCCCTGGTCTCTCACTGGTATCTGCCTGGTCTCTCTCTGGTCTCTCTAGTCTCTCTGGTCTCTCTCTGGTCTCTCACTGGTCTCTATCTCTGGTCTTTCTCTAGTCTCTTACTGGTCTCTCTCTCTGGTCTCTTTTTAGTCTCTCTCTGGGCTCTCTCTGCTCTCTCTCCCTGGTCTCTCTCCGGTCTCTCTGGTCTCTCTCTGGTCTCTCTATTTCTACTTTAATAACTTGTTTGCACCATGAGCCAAAGCAAATTCCTAGTTAGGGACTTCCTGTTACTATAAAAATATAGAACCAGGTTTCTGGTTCTGATTTAAGACATTGCTGGTTTTGAGCTCCTAGATTCGCAATCTTGATCTTAAAAAACTAAACTGAACTAAACTAAACCAAACTGAACTAGGCACAACACTGCAAGCCAAAATATTTTTTCGCTTCCGTTTTGACAAAGTTTTGGGCTGGAAAATCCCACTGGCATCTGGCAACACTGGGATTGACCCATACTTTAGTCAGAATGATGATGTCACTTGCTGAGCTTGTGTCCTTCCCCATGTATGTAATGATTTAAAGGAGACCCCATGTAGAAAAGCCAGAGGACGAATGCCCCTCAGTGGCTGATGGGGTCATAATAAACTAAACTAAACTAAACTATACTAAACTAGAAACGACACTGCCTCCACATTTCCTGATACGACTCTCAGTTCACCGACAGTATATTTGCATCAGTCCGCACTATGACCACTATCGATCTTATTTTACAGTGTATTTGTGTCTGTTATAGCCTCATAAATATCTGTAAAAGTCGTACTGTTTCTTCCCTAATGCCACCGTGTGATTTACTCTCGGCGAAGCAGGTGGCAGTATCTCAAAGCGGACAAACAGATGGCGTATTCTCTGGCAGAAGAAGTTACGGAGCAGTTTTAAATCACCGGAATCACACAGAACGACACGTGTGGAGTGGCGCTGACGGCATCAGTATTCATACAACATGTCTCATTCCTCAGCGACAGTAAAACACCAGAACGCCGTGCGCTGACGAGATCCATAGGGCTCGCTGTAATATTTATACCTCATGCATTTGTAATCGTAGAACACATGGCCTCGTCTATATGCGTGTGTTCATCAAGGCTATTTGAATACGGAAGTAAGAGGGTCATCACATGTTTAATGTTTGAAATATAAATATGTACAGATGTATTCGTGTAACGCCCCGAATCACAACAGCGGTCGTCTCGAAGGACTTGTGGAAGTTTCCCACTGAGTCTGTGGCCCCGTTTAGACGGAGGCGCTGCGCAGACGTTTCCAAGCTATTAACAGAAACGACCAAGCACCTTATGCAAATTTCACAGCGTTCATACAAGGATGAAAAACAATGTAGTTCTAGCGCCCGGCCAGTAGGGGGCAGAGGAACTTTACAACACGATACACATGAGACCCCCCAGCAGTATACGCACTTCCTCAACAACATCCTCCTCAAAGACGTGAAAAATATCATTCTGCATTTGAACAGCATCTGCAAAAACGGAAACTGAAACTAGAGCTTTGCGTGGTTTTGTTTGGACGAACGAAGGAGTAGAATTCTCCTCCGTGTCGCGCTCAAAGCAAACGTAGCTAGTTAGTGTACCCGCCGCCATTGTTGTTTACGTTTGCTCTACTGCGCATGTCCAAATGTACGTGCGGGGAGCAGCGGGAGGTGGGGGTCAGAGCAGCAGAGAATTCACACCTTTTTCTTCTTGCAGGTGAGCAGCGTATCTGAGCTGTCCCACTCTGAGGCTGAATCTTAACACTTGCGTTTTCACCTGGAGCTCAGTTCACCTGGAGCACAGTTCACCTGGAGCACAGTTCACCTGGAGCACAGTCTCCATGTGAACGGGCGTTAGCAACCGACATCCAACTATCTACACATAAACGGGGCCTGAGAAGCACTTTTTGAGTCTGGGACAAAAGCGAGATCAGAAAGTCAGACTCTGGGGTCACATGAGCCTTAGTTTGGTCATCACCAGCTTCACTACAGGTTGTAACGTGTGTGTGTGTGTGTGTGTGTGTGTGTGTGTGTGTGTGTGTGTGTGTGTGTGTGTGTGTGTGTGTGTGTGTGTGTGTGTGTGTGTGTGTGTGTGTGTGTGTGTGTGTGTGTGTGTGTGTTTGTGTGTGTGTGTGTGTCCAGGCGGGGCAGGTGATGTGTCGGCGGATGGTCTGTGACTGCGATAACCCCAGTGCAGACCTGTTCTGTTGCCCGGAGTGCGACCCTCGCCTCAGCAGCCAGTGTCTGCATCAGAACGGCCTCCTCACCTACAGCAGCGGAGACACCTGGGTGGACAACTGCCAGCAGTGCCAATGCCTGGTAAGACACACACTCACTAAAGTACAGACACTTTAGCTTTTACACATGTAAACAGATGGACAATGCTAACACGCTAGCTCAATGAAGCCTTATGGGGAAGTGGTGCTAGCTCTGGCTCCTATTGATGTCACACTCACTATTTTGGGCTTAGAGAGGGACTAGAGAGAGAGAGAGAGACCAGAGAAGGACCAGGAGGAGCCCAGAGAGACCAGAGAGAGACCAGGGAGAGACCAGAAAGAGAGAGATCAGAGAGAGACCAGAGAAAGAGACCAGTGAGAGAGAGAGACCAGGGAGAGACCAGAAAGAGACCTGATAGAGAAAAGAGAGAGAACAGGGAAAGAGACCAGAGATATACCAGTGAGAGAGACCAGAAAGAGACCTCCAGGACTGAGGCTGTAGATCCAGGACTGAGGGCGTAGACCCAGGACTGAGGCTGTAGACCCAGGACTGAGGGCGTAGACCCAGGACTGAGGCTGTAGACCCAGGACTGAGGCTGTAGACCCAGGACTGAGGCTGTAGACCCAGGACTGAGGCTGTAGACCCAGGACTGAGGCTGTAGACCCAGGACTGAGGCTGTAGACCCAGGACTGAGGCTGTAGACCCAGGACTGAGGCTGTAGACCCAGGACTGAGGCCGTAGACCCAGGACTGAGGCTGTAGATCCAGGACTGAGGCTGTAGACCCGGGACTGAGGCCATAGATCCAGGACTGAGGCTGTAGACCCGGGACTGAGGCCGTAGACCCTATGGACCAATGGCTCTATGTGTTTGTTATTAGAGCCTTTATTGAGTTTAAAATGTTTGATTCTCTGATCTCTTGTTTATAAAGTTCGCTGAGACGACTTCTGTTGTGGTTTAGGGCTAAACACAAATACATTGAATGAGATTTAATTAAAACTTTTCAAATTGGTATGTTTTTCTCCCTCTTTGACCTCTCGTTTCTTTGGCGATGACTCAAAGGAGAGATTCTTAAGCAGTCTGTGATAGTCTGTGATAGTGTGATGGATGTACCTTCTGTCCCCATTACCAAAGCACAAATAACACATTTCTATCTCTCTCTTTTCTATTCCAATCTTTCTTTCAACACGATTACATTCTTGCCGCTGAGCCCACGCCTGAAATGTTCCTGGCGTCAATAGAAAGTCAAGGAGAGACGCTTGTGAAAAGAAAGGTTGCCGTTTTTCATCAGATTTGTGAAAAATACAAGAATTAATAACATTGTGAAGGAGTGAAGGCGGCGGCTGTAGAGATGGGACTTATACATTTACGCAGAGGATAAGTCCAAGGTGAGAGACGGAGACTGTGGAAGTGGCGCTTTAACGGAAAATCAACTCATCTGGATGTATAGCAATGTAAATTCAGGGTCTATCCATCCGTATTCTTCCCCTTAATCCATTTCTGGGTCGGGGGGTGACCAGAGATGCCACCCAGTCCACAGAGCACCAGCCCCTCACTGATCCTGCTGCAGGTGCTGAGTCCACGGGGGCCTTGATCTTTCAGCAGGGGCTTCAGGCAAAGTGGGGTTAAGTGTCTTGCCCATGGACACAACGGCAGCAGACATCAGTGGGAGTTAATGGAGGTCTTATGGTGGCGGGCTCGAACCTACGACCTTCAGGCTCAATGCTCTACCAACTGAGCCACTGTGGCCCTTAAATTCAGGGTCTATGTACATGAAAACATAGGGTACATCAAAAAGTGTGTCAGAGAAGAAGCCCGTCTCACATTTTCAGGAAGACTGTTCCAGGTTTTAGCTGCAGGAATCTGAAATGATGCCTCCTCAAGTTTTTTCCTGATTCTGGAACTAGCAGGAGGCCAGTCCCTGTGCTCCTCAGAGTCTCAGCAGGAGGCAGTCCCTGTGCTCCTCAGAGTTGGTTCATATGCCACTAACATGATGTACTTTGAGGCCTTGGAGAGACTTGTAACAAACAGAGCTGCTTTAAACTCTATTCTTTAAAGTCTAATCTTAAGTCTAAGGAAAAATAACTGCTGATCGCTGACTATGTTTGTGGTCCTGGTAAAGCCTCTGACCTTGCGTCACTTTTATAACATTGTTTTAGATCGATATTGAGTTTGATAATGACGTTGTGTCTGATTTGCTTCTATGATCATGAATCTATTTTAACACAATTAAAACATTTGAAGGTCGATTTCACAGGGTCTTGTGTGAGGCGCTCTGAAATTGCTTATTTCAGTTCGTTTCACGGATCAAAACAGGAATGCTTAATGTCAGGGGTTTTTATACTCTTTATTATTATGATATTTTACTAATATTTTTCTCCTTAATGATAATAACACGCTTCACCAAAGGCTTCAAAATGTCATGTTTGTAAAATAATGAGATAAAAGGCTTTGAACCAAAACAGAGACATAGTGTTAAAACAGAGGCTTTCAGCTCGAGCGAAGACATCAAAATCACTTCACAATTTAGAGTAAACAATGCAGTGGCTGTATCGGACTGCTGTGGAGAAGAGGGAGCAGCGTCTGCAGTCAGAGCTCTGCGTCTCCTCCTTCACCTCTGGTCCTGAACTTTGGGTAATGACCGAAAGGACGAGATCACGGATGCAAGCGACACATGGGGGTCCTCTGCAGAGTGACAGGGCGTCAGAGATAGAGGAGTTCTGTCAGAGGGGAGGAGCTCGGAGTAGAGCCGCTGCTGATCCATGTGAAGAGGAGCTGAATAATCACAACAGCAGTCATCCCTAAGGACGTTACCAAGTTTTAGATTCCTCAAAAACAGATCAGAGAATCAAATTTGTTTGTGGCCATTCCTGAATGCGAGAGCCAGATCCTGTCAGACCTCTGAAGCTAAGCAGGGTAGGGCCTGGTTAGTACTGTGATGGAAGACCTCAGATGCATTATTAGCAGTTCAAACACAGGAAATACAATAATAACAAACACAGGAGCCATTGGTTCATAGGGAGGAGGATGATCACTGTCCAGAAATGTGGATAAATGTCCTGGATCATCACCGTCCTTAGACCCTCCTGCATCAGAAACACAGTGGGGAAAAGTGAGAAACCTGGGAGTCCCACATCAGGGAGAGGATGTAGGCTGTAGACGCTATAGGACTGAGGCTGTAGGTTCAGGACTGAGGCTGTAGATTCAGGACTGGGGCTGTAGGTTCAGGACTGAGGCTGTAGGTTCAGGACTGAGGCTGTAGGTTCAGGACTGGGGCTGTAGGTTCAGGACTGAGGCTGTAGGTTCAGGACTGAGGCTGTAGGTTCAGGACTGAGGCTGTAGGTTCAGGACTGAGGCTGTAGGTTCAGGACTGAGGCTGTAGGTTCAGGACTGAGGCTGTAGGTTCAGGACTGATTTCTACACTTTTCCCTATTATCTGGGGACACATACATAGTAATTTAATTTTAAATGAAAATATTATGGGATATTTAGTTTCAACTTTGCTCTGGTTTAACTGTTCTGATGGTCCTTCGGTCCGTCCATGACCCAGACCATAACCACAGACCTTCATCTCACATTCTTTCCATCATTTAAGGAGGATAGGACTGGGTACCAAATACTTGCTGTGTGATGGAGAGGTTCCAAAGGTCTTTCGGTCCTGCTTCTGTCAGACTGGACAACGAACAATGAGGACTTACAAACTCTTCTGACCGGTCCTCACCTCAATATAGAACCACATAGTCACTGTCACGTTAGCCACTTTGTCCCTGATGCAAACATACAACTATAAATGTCTTACACTCAACATACCGTGATTTATACTTGCTTCTTTATTATGCTAAAGTCAGAGATTTTACTTTATTATAGTGAGTTATTGTTCATTTATCTGTGCGCTTCTCATTCAAATGTTCTATAGCTGGGAATGCAACACTGAAATTTCCCCACTGTGGGACAAATAAAGGATCTCTTAAACCTAATCGTAAAACTAGGATATCGTACTTTTAAAACTACATAGATGTAACTACAGCTGGAGGTGTGTGTGGAGAGGGAGGTCTGGGTATGTCTGCTTATAATAGATCATCACCCACAAGAACCGTCACAAGGTACCGTACCATTGTAAGCAAGTTAATACAATTCACTTGATTCAAACCACACATTCACACAATACCACATTATAAGTATTATTCTTTTTGGAGACAACAAAAACAGCTTGAGAGTCGGTCTGTATCTCCGTTTTTATTCCACGTCGTACGAACCACCTTCATTCACAATATAATCAAATATACTCATTCTACTCCAAATCCAAAATCACAAATAATTTAACCACCTATCATTTCATTATCTTTACCACATCTATACCAATACCCATATCCCAACCACTACTCCCAACCACTCCATATATTGATTCAACCTAACACCCCCCCACCTACAATCCCAATCCCCCTCTACCCATCTTTCGCCAATTTACCACACTAACCATCTAAAAACCATCATATTCCCTATTCCCCCCCCTCCTCCCCCTCATATTCTTTAACAACCCTCCAACCTTCCACTTACCATCCCCTTCATACTCCCCCATCCATATCCCCTTCATCTTCATACTCCCCCTTCCATCTTCATACTCCCCTTCCATCTTCATACTCCCCTTCCATCTTCATACTCCCCTTCCATCTTCATACTCCCCCTTCCATCTTCATACTCCCCCTTCCATCTTCATACTCCCCTTCCATCTTCATACTCCCCTTCATCTTCATACTCCCTTCCATCTTCATACTCCCCCTTCCATCTTCATACTACTCCCCTTCCATCTTCATACTCCCCTTCCATCTTCATACTATACTCCCCTTCCATCTTCCCATATACTCCCCCTTCCATCTTCATACTCCCCTTCCATCTTCATACTCCCCCTTCCATCTTCATACTCCCCTTCCATCTTCATACTCCCCTTCATCTTCATACTCCCCCTTCCATCTTCATACTCCCCTTCATCTTCATACTCCCCCCCTTCATCTTCATACTCCCCCTTCATCTTCATACTCCCCTTCCATCTTCATACTCCCCCTTCATCTTATACTCCCCTTCCATCTTCATACTCCCCCTTCCA